CTTAAACAAAGTTCAGTGGGGCATCAAACTGCCTCAGTTTTAAATTACAGTCTGTACTTTAAAATAGAATGCATGCACCACATGTTCCTGAAGCTAGAGGGTGGGAGTGTTATTCACTGAAAATTGAAGGCTTGTTGAGTCAATAATCTTCTTTCACAGAGTAACAATTTTCAGCTAAAATTTCTTGACCCAAACAAAGGAAAACAAGATCATTCAGTTATTTTACAACATTGCAGAAAATAAGAAAGGAAAGTGGGAAAGAGGCACACCAGTCTTATCCTACTTGATGTAAAAACAATGGAAAATTTAATTCACAAGTATTACATACTCACATTTCCTTCTTGTTCATGGTTTAACATACTCCCAGTTACTTTCAGATGGAGACATGAATAGAAGCGAATAACTACAGGACAGAATTGCTATCATGTACTACAGATGCATCTATCAACTGGCAACTGCATTTGCCTCCCAAGAATTACCAAGAATCTATTTACAGGTATTTTTTCCCCTCCTTTTTTCTCGAATCAGCAGCAGTATTCTGGATTTTTAAAATATCGCTTACATTTATATCAAGCTTTCTAATTCACTTAGCTGCAAAGAATCCAACAAGGATTAAAAAAAAAAGAGAGAAAGAGAGAGAGAGAGAGAGAGAGAGGGTTGCTGCATTACCTCTCCTTTAGTACTGGTTTGTCCTCACCAGAGGGGCTCCAGTAGTAATTAATATGTACATTATGGTAGTGCCCACAACTCTGATCATGATTAGGGCTGTCATAGAATTAATCCATGAACTCCGAATTCTGAGTGACCTAGTAAAGCACCCATTCCCTCAACTCCAGAATCAACCTTCCCCCTTCAACACTGCATGACCTCCAGTAAACACAAGCTAAAGCCGAGCTAAGTTATAAGACTAAGGCCAGGATTTCCCTAGAGTTTATGCCGATGCAGCTAAGGGCTGCCCGAAGCCCACCTTCCCTGCAGCCTCCAGCCGTGCATGCTCACACCTCTGGGCTTGCACTCACTGACTGCATTGAACAACCCAGGGATGTAGACTGGCAGAAAACCTACCTTACAAAAAGAAGTGAACTGTCTTCTGTCTGTTTGGGGCTCCGTGACTGCTGCAGGGCCCGACTGTGAACACTGGGATCTGCTGTGCCACCATGTCTCTGCTGACAGCATGTCAGTCTTAAACCCTTCCAGCAAGATCATACAGTCTTTTAGGATGTGGCTAAAATTAAAGCTGTCCCTACCGTCCCCTTTCCCATCACAGCTACTGATTCCCATCTCCTCTTCTGAGGTACCACCGATGTCCATGCAATTACAGAGTGATTCAGCCAAAAGCTAGCCCAGAAATAAGGAGTTGTTGTTTCTCAGCTGGTTCAGCTCCCCAAGTCAAATCCATCGGCCTGTCCCAGGACCGACAGTGGAAGAGATGGGATGGCACAGCCAGCATGCTGTGGGGCACACAGCAGGACTGCAGCCATCCTGGCTTACAACGGCTCAAGCAGCCACAGAACTTTACCTGTAGGTTGCAACAAGAAAAAATTAGCAGAAACCCGTGTTCCAAAAGCACGACAACCTTGGATAGGCCATTGGACCTCGTACCTCAAACAAGCACACCTGACACTGGGCAAAAAAGGACCTTATTAAAACAAAACAAAGTAACAGCAAAAACACCAATGCCTATCTGAAATTACTGTCATACTCATGCCAATAAAAAAAAATTAAATTCATTTATGTTTTCTGCTCTTCATTCTGTGAACACAATCCAACGTGAACATTTACAAAATTACTCATTAAAGACAAAATAAAAGATTAGTCTTCACAGACACACACAGCCTACTGCTGACACAAGCTCCTTTACTGCAACAACAAATTTGCAGATATATCATTTGGAAGCTTTTTCCTGTAAGTCTGCTCTAGCTTTCTCACAATAGCCGAAATGTGTATTTTGCTATTATCCCTTAAGTCTCAACAAATATATTCTGTAGTAGCTGCTCTCCAGACAATTTCATTCAGGCTTCTCCCCCTTTATTCCTGCACTCTAATAGGGAACAGTTTCTGTTTATGACTTCCTTTCCTTCACAGAGTACCCAACTCCCATGTTTTCTCAAAAGCTTGAGATTTCCTTCTAATTGTGACCCCAACGAAAGTGCTCGGAGCACTACTCTCTGCAACTTTTCATTTGGGCTCTCAGTGACTCCACATGGTCAGAGACCCACAGGTGAAACCCTCCAGATATCAGAGCAGTTAGGAGAAGGAAAGCAAGCATTGTATAGAATCTGACAGGCCATTAGAAGTAGCTAATAAAGCCATATTTTGTTTGTAGCCATTTGTTACCAACCCACATTACAAATTTGTCCGCTTTGAACTTTATGGGAACATTCATGCCAGGACTTTTATATACAATGTGTGAAGGAAACGGAACAACTACTGAGCTGTTTAGCTGCGCTTACTGTGACACAAACCTGCTGAAAAAACTCCCCCAAAGGATGACACAAGCCAGCATTCAGTGCTGCAGAAAGTGGCCAGCTCCTCTTCAAATCCATCAAAGGGAAACTCTTTTTTCAAAGCCGCATCAGAGAACACCATTCACCATTTAGTATTACATCTCTTTTGTTGTTTTTAGACACTTGTATAAGCTTGCTATGTAGCTGCTGTGATTTTACACAATGCCCTTAAGAAATAAAAAGATAACGGGCAAATTGTATAAATACCAGAATACCATGAAACAAAACATAACCAAATTTTATTAAAAGCGTAACACCACTGCTATCATTTCAAGCTTCGCTGTACAAAGACAACTGACTACCCTCAAGAACAGCATTATCTTGAAAATAAGCTTAAGAAGCCATATTTAGCATCCCAAAATGACACTATAACTAGGAATACTAAACAAGGGATCATGATCATGGGTTTTCCTAAGCAGTTCAAAACTGAATACACAACTCTTGCTCAAGGAGAAAAACAAGAAACAACAACAAAAAACCCCAATGTGTTTATATGGTCAAGCCATCCATACCCCAAATAGAGTTACATTAAAGCATTTACCATGTTCACCATACTTTGAATGTATGGATCGTTCCTAATTTCTAAGACATTTTCCTTGAAAGTAAGATGATGCGGAGTTTGCTCACACTACCAAAAAAAGCGTTGTTGCCACATACGAAGGGTTGCAGTTGGATTTTTTTTTTTTTAAAAACCAAACAAAAAAAACACCAAAAAAAGAAACCCAGACCAAAACCAAAACAAAATACAAAATGATAATACCTCCCATTCCCCTCCAAATCCAAGTGGCAGGGTTTTTGAGTATATGAAGTGCTCTCTGGCTAGGTATCAAAGCTTTTCAGTAATGGAGTGTCTCAGTAACAGCATTTGGGACCAACTCAGAGTTTAAGGTATGTTGCCAAAATGGTTAACATCCACTGTTAATACTACCAGCTTACTCATACCTAGAATAATAATGAGCTACTAAATATACCAAACACTCAGGGACACAGATAATACCCAATACTCTGCTTAGATACCATGATGGTGGAGGTAGGACAGAGCATGGATTAAAAGTAGGACAATTGTTTAAGAAAAACCACAGGCAAATTAGTAGAACATTAGTTGATAAATAACTTTACTTCTCTCTACCCTAATAAACACTGTTCATGAAAAACTGAGCAGTTAAAAAGTTCCTTTTACTATCACTGCTTTTTAAAATAGGTAATTGGTGCCAAAACAGTTCAGTGTCCACAGTAGCTACTATTTTTAAGGTAATCGCTAGCATTAATTTTTGAGACCTTTTCAGAGAAACTAGCCTTTTAAAAAAAGGTTTCCTGAAAAAACTGTCAAATTAATACTAGTTCAAAGCAAATGGGTGTTATGTCTTCTCACACCAGGTTCCATAGCTTCTCCCAAGACATGCATGTGTCAAACGTCACATAAAGAATATGTAGCATATATACTCTCCCAGCTGCTCAAGATATAACTTTAAAATGCTACCGAGATGTTTATTGTCCTATTTTCAGGGGTTGACAATAGTGCCATATGCCAGAGGTAAAATATACAACGATCCACCAGATTTCACACATACATTTGCTGTCTCGATAGGGTAAACTCTTCAGAGGGATCCCTCTGCTAACTGGAAATGAATACATAACCAGTGAACTGCGGGAAATACCCTATATGTTTACGATACGTTAGTCCAAGCCAGAGGTCACATAGTTTACAAAACAGTTTTCATCATTTATAACATATTCCAGTTGGTTTAAAGTCATGCTGTTTTACTACCAACAAACAAGAAAATCCCCAAACCAAGATGGGTACACAGAGGCAAGGCTAAGCAGTACTTTGTCCATTATGGGGAAATAAGACCATCAAAAATGCAAGTAGCTGCAGTGTCTTTACAAAGTATATTAATTTGTGCAGTTTCTTCCACAGCAGAATGCATAGAGCTCAGAAAATTAAGAAATGTTACTCCAAAATAATCTCCTAACCAAAAGATCAACCTAGCCCAAGTATCACTATCATGCCCACTTCTACACTTCAGTAGTAATAGCAGCAGAATTAACATGTCAAACTCATTACCGATGCTTGGGGTTTGGAGCAAATAACTCCTGGCAACAGCATTCTAAACCAGAATCTACTGAAATCCTTCGAAAACAGCACAGAAAAAAAGCCTCTTCCTCACCAGATTGTCCTGTGCAAGCATGGAATTCCTAAAGCTAAAAAACAAAAAACCCCAAACCAATCCATTTCCTCTATGCAAATACACATGTGCACAAGCACAGAACGTGGATGTGCATAAATAGTGGTATTTTGAACCAGAACAAGCCTACGCTAAGTCCACTCACATACAAGCTGTCTGTTCTCACCATATTTTTAAAAACAGTTTGTGATCAACCTCATTTAATACTTCTTCTTTCATTATTTCTCATCCGCTCATCATAGATGCAATGAAATCCTACATAAAGTGCTTTCATTTTAAAATACTGAAACAAACATTAGTTTCTTACTGGTAAGCTTGATGGTCTTTCTTGCTGGATTAGATTCAAGTCTTCATGGTTAGGCTTTCCTGGGGCCATCGGGGGTTGAGATCTGGTTCCATAGCCTTCCTGAGACATGTCCTGCAACAACAGTTTTAACAGAACTATTAACCTGACTCAGTAATTACAATTAAATCCGCATCACAGAAGGGTGAACGTACAACAGGTGAGTGCTGATGGTTTTTTTTGATCAGAAGGTTTTACTAGTTATACCTTCTTGATGGAAGTATCAAGCTCACACGGGTACTGCTATGACCTGTGCTGTTCGTAAAGAAATCCAAGGAGCAGAGCAACACGCTGACAAGCAGCAGGGAATCTTACTACTGGGACATGTGGAAACACACAAAACCAAACCTGCTAAATAAAGGACCCCTTTTTACTGTAAAAGAGTAGCAAGCACAAAGTGATCTAAACATTGACCTACTCTGAGATGGATTCTCAAGCTCTTTGATGAAGTACTGAGCCAGGTGCAAGACTGACTTGAAAGTAAGATTATAATCAAGCCGTATCATCAGACTGCCGTAACAACCCTGGATTTACCATCACTACTACTGGCACAACTTTCAAACACGGGCTATCAGGTCATAGCACACAACGCAGTCACTGCGTCTGCTGGAGGCATGTCGCATCCGATGGGTTAGAAGGAAAGCGTATTTGATCAAGAGTAGCTCCAAAAATTGTACCAGCAACCTGGGGATCTTCCTCCCTGTGCAAGCCCAAGCAGCGTTTGGTAATGGCCTAACACAACGCCCACCACACAGGGGAGGGGGGAGCAACAAAACAACCTCACCCCTGCCATCCCCCATCCCACAACCGGGCTTACTTCACACGTATAGATACTTGCCCATTGCAAAGCCTTAGATTCAGGCTTCATTTTAGCTACTATAGCAGCTTCTACGCTAACGTCTTCAAGGAAAACAACAGAAAGTGCAATACTGACACTTCAGCATGTGTAACTGGCACGGAAAGTTGGAGAACCAGTTCCCGACTGCTAGAAAAGATGTTGCACCTTGAAGGTTTTTCTTTGTCGTTTTAAAATAGTTTAATTCTCCTCTCCAGCTCCTGAGTTTACTACCAGTTCAATTTGCTTCAGCCACCCTCACGCCTTCAGTTTTGACACGCACCTGAACGCAGGTGGGCGCCCCTGGTGCGAAGGGGCAGGGGAAGCTGTCCTCTGTCCCACCCCACCCCACCCCACCCAGCCTGAACCTCCCCTGGCTGCTGCGTAGCAGGAGCCGTTCTGACAGCCCCCTGTCCCTGTCACGCACAGGCTCCGGGAGGCAGCCGGCTTGCAGAGCAGGAAAGCTTTCCGTCCCCGTTTTTAGCCCTGCTCCTGACAGAGGGAAATTTGTTAACAACCCCACTGCTTCCACTCAGCCCCTTCCATCGCTTTGGACTCTCCCGAATTATTTGAAGGACGCAGAAAATTCAACGGGGCCAATGAAACAAACCCCAGCAAACCTGATACGATATAAACCCAGCAATAAACGATCCTATCCCTACGTCTGTGCCAAGTAAAATCAAGAAACACTTAAAAGGCCAGCACTTCAATGTGGTTACCAGCAGAGGGTAACAATTAGGCTTAAGGGTGACAAAGGCTGATGGCTGAATGATTATTATCCCCTGTGACCCCCCGCGCTCCCCCCCGCCCAGATTTCCACTTGTCACACAGCTCTCCTGCTGCGCACACCAGCAGGTTCCTGTGGATTAACAGCGAGGTTTAAAATCAACAAATGGCACAAGGCCTCCATTCAGCAGCCTTCACCCCAGTACAAAGGAGTAGAAAGGTGCAGGACAGCTTCACAATAGGCAAACAAATGAGCAAACCTCTGCTTTCCTTTTCATTTAAAAACGCGCACGCACACACACACTCACGCACATGCACGCTAGGGGCTGTCACTGCATAGGCATCTGTAATAAACCCAGCAACCCCAGACTTCCAGTTCAGCGTTTGACTCCCTTCTTCCTAATTCTTAACAAAAATACACCAAATAAGAACCACTTGTTAAAACAACACCAACAAAAAAACACCCAGAAACACCAAGAGTGGTGAAAAAGGATAAATGGAATATTCAATTTAGGAGACGTCATTTTAGAAACACAATTGTTCCTTTTTCCAAACAGACACTACAGGATTTTGCTGGGAAGCAAAACATGTTTTATAGTTTGAAAAATGAAGAGCCATTAATTCCTTACAAAGTACCAAGTATGGTTTTTACCACATGTTTGCAAGATTTCAACCTCGCTTTCTACTGCAATTTGCAGGGGGACCAGAGGGGGAGTGGCAAGAGACAGCACGCTTTCACACGAGAAATACTGCATGTTGAATGGAATTTACTTTTACCTGGGTATTTAAAGACTACCTATGACATGTCTTTCCACACACTGAAGAGCACATAAAAAACCCTGGACATGACATCCTTTGCCTTTTTAAATACACCATTTTCATAGTGTTTTCCTTTCTGACTGTGGAAAAATCAAATCTTTTTGCTCAGTTCTAGATGAGGTCTGGAAACAAATACTGCAGACATCCATGTTCGTTATGATGCAGATACCCGTGCACTCCAAATGAGACTGAGATCACATACTCTTGCTTATATTCTCCATAAAGCCATTCAGATACTTGGATCACTCTAAATTGGAAAGCGGCTCTTGAGAAGTGAAGAATCAGGTTGCTTGCAGTAAGTTGCAGGCATAGGAATCTCCCAGATGAAATATGCATGGGTGTGTGTGTATAATTTTATGTGTTTATACATATGCATTGTCCAATAAAACCAGTCCATTTATATACTAAACATAATGACGATTAAATAATAGCATATTTCACTAAGAGGTTGGCTTCATAACCAAAACAGTGCTTAGTAGCATTTTCACTGGAAAACAGAGGAGAGAAAATCCCTACTGCCTTTCTTCAGTTCTGCATTAGGAAATTTTGTTAAGATACAGCATATTACAGAATAGACCCAACAGATTTTGAGAGGTATTAAATAAGAAATAAGGACAGAAGTATTAGGGTAAATTGTCCGTCACTGAAGAAATGCATGGAATTGGGCAATTCTCACTTTCAGTTTTGAAAAGTCATTTTTCTTTCTAGCATCTAGGAAGGGATTTACTGGGGAGTGAACAGAGGGAACGTAAGGGGAAGAGGAACATGTTACCACATGTTGTGCTACAGTCATGGCTGAAGAGTCCCCCACTGATATCAGGGCTCAATCTTCTCCTGGGATCCCTGATTTTTTTCTTTTGACTCCCAATATTTTATCCATCAATGACATCGACTTTCAAAGCAAAGCTTACAATTTTTTATGAATCACAGAAAATCCTTCCTCCCATAGAAGGAGAGCATGTGTATAAGAGAGAAATCCAGGCTTTTATAAACAGAAGGCTACAAGTTTCCACTCAGAACTTCCCAACTTGGCACAAACCCAATCATATCATAGCTGTTATAGCACAAACTGTCAACAAAGTTGTAAAATAACTAAACGCAGGGCTTCCCCCATCAGATTTTAGAAAAAGCACTGGGACAAATAATCTGCAAGTCATAAGCATACACTCAAAATAGCTGAAAGTTTGGACTGTTTTCACAAAACATTTATACTGTGAACCAGGTAGACCAAAAAAAAAAAAAAAAGACAGCTATGCCTACATTTACACAGCCTAAGACCTATGTATTGGGTAAGCTGTTCAGAAATCAATCCATATACAATTATTATATTTGGGTAATAACAATAACAACAACCAATTGCTTATCATCCACAGAGCCAGGACTAGTTATTTACCTCCTGTTCACGTGCACTTTTAGTTTGCCCTGCAAATTGTGGTATATGCAGCTCAAGTTTGAGTAGGGGAGGAAACAGGATATTTTCTTCCCTCTTATTCTCTGTTACTGTATTTATTCATCTTACAAACTTCTAAAGTGTCTACTTCTGGTGTGGGATTTCACTAACACAGAGGTTTCGAATGACCAGCTGAGACAGTGTACCAGCCTGCAAGAAAGTCAAAGGCGCCTTGTTCCTGCCTCCCCCGATTCTTGCAGTTGGACACGCACCCCCTTAGTTTGCGTTGGGTCTTTACTAGACCACTTTGAGAAATGGCGCAACTTAAAACTCGCCAGAAAAATCCCCCCTTTCCCCCTAGCTTTATCACGGATTACTGAGCAGAACTGGCCTCGGGAAGGGTTGGGTGAGCGGAATAGAAGGAAGCTTCCCCCCTTTGGCAGCAGCCAGCCACGAGCCCGGCTCCACCAGCCACCAAACTGCAGCCCAAGTCAACTGTACTGCGACCATTTTGGAGCAGGCCACATGTAGACAACCTATTCCCTTTTGATGTGCAATGCTAATTTGTGTCACGCTTTCACCCTCTAGCTGGACCTAGTTTTAAACAAGCAAGTCTGTCCAGATTTACATGTTCTCTGCAAACCTGAATGAATATAGTGCTGATCATGCTTGAAACCATGTAGATGAAATGCACGTTTGTTCTAAGTTCTACCAAAGAAGATAAGATCTAATTATTAAATAGTTTAAATTATTTTTAATGGAAAATGAAAGCATAATGAAAACATTAATGTTTGGGGGAAAACACATTTAAAGAAGGGCTGGGTGAGAACTATTATTCAGTCTTCATCCACTTCTGCTGCAGAAAATTTCAGAGGGATAACATGACCACCCAAGAAGATAAGTACCATGACGGTTAAATAGAAGGAAAATAATTTATGGAAAATAATATACTAGATTTCAATTTGAAAAACTCATTAAAAACTATTTTAGCTCATGTTCTTGATTCAGTTGGTTGATCCTTAGAAGACTTCAAGTGTGAGAGCAGTGAATTCTACAGCAATGTGACAACAGCAAAATTGAAAGCAAATGTTAATTTTTATTTTTTTTTTCCGCCCAGACCACTTGAGAATGGAAGTCAGGACCCAGTGCAGCAGCCAAGAGGAGCATACAGCCCTACAATACAAGATGATTTTACTCATCTCTGAAGGGATACAATGGAACAGAAAGAAGGCAAGTGAAATGTTAGGGGCTATAGAAGCACATTCCTTGTTATCACTTAGCCAAGTACCTGTTTGTTCAGTGTAG